TGAAATATCATGACGCCATGTTTAGGTTTGTTGCTCTCCTTTAAATGATATATTTTACTATCTATTGCCTGTGGTTTCTAACTTAGAAAATGACTTACTTCCAAACAACTCCATCACCACATTTAAAAATGTAAAAAATAGTGTCCTATCGGTGTTGGGTACAGGGACCAAGATATCGGTGGTTAGGACTCCAGAGACAGAAACTTCGTAACGATACGCGCCGTATCGAGGAGAACTGCCTTCTGCATCAGGCCCATAATCCAACTGCCTAAAGCGAGCCTCTGAAGATGTTGGTCGAGGCTCTTAGCAACTAATAGTAATAATTAATAATAACTAATAATAATTATTATTATTATAACTGGCCTGTTGGTCTAGTGGTTAGTAACCCTGACTGCTACGCCAGAGGTCGTGGGTTCGATTCCCACCCAGGACAAATAATTGTGTGATGAGCACGGTCATTTGTTCTGTGTCTGGTACTTTATCTATAATATGTATGTATTTAGAAATATTTAAGTATGTTTATCAGCAGTCTGGTTACCATAGTACAGGCTTCGCCTAGTTTGGGACCAGACGGCCGTGTGTGAGTATTCTCTTTATTTACTTTATATACATATTATTTACATTTTTAAACATACACTTTATAAAAAATTATAAAAAAATACATTTAAAAATATAAAAAATAGTAGACCACCGACATCGGGTACAGGGACCAAGACACCGGTGGTTAGGACTCCAAAGATAGGAACCTCCTCACTATACAAGCCGGGTCAAGGAGGACTGCCTTCTGCATCAGACCCTTGATCCAGCCGTCCAACGTGAGCCTCTTAAGGTGTTGGTCGAGGCTCTTGGCTATTATTATTATTATAAGATCTGCCTGTACCTGAAGTAATCTACCTATTTGATAAAATTACTTGTCCTGACTGACTGACTCGTCTGTGGCGACTCCCACATACAAAGAAACAGAAACATACTACAGCGCCATCTAATGAAGACACACCGAACTACGGAGTAACTACTAAAAGTAGAATTGCTAATCCTGTATCGCGATATAAAGAATTCCCTCGCCGTTTAGCATATATACAACTTCCCAACATCAACCGTTGGGCCGCGGCCCGCCAGGCATGATCACCTCGCCTGGTCAGAGGATCCTCCCTTTGTGTTGGAGGGACATGACACCCGTTCCTCCACACATCAAAGCAGAGCGTAAGTACCCACTAAGAAAGGATTTTTTTGAATATTTTAAGTTAATTAAATAATAATTTAATTAATTTAGAGTTGTATGGAGAAGTCCGTGTGGTGACGGTTTAAGAATACAGAGTGTCACCACCCCTATTCATCCCCTGAGTGTCGTAAGAGCCGACTATGGGAGCAAACTACGTAGGACAACAGCCTATACCACCCCCTTCAAAGTAGGTCAAAACCTCCTTTCTAAGGAGAGGCCTATGTCTAGCAGTGGACTAGTATAGACTTTTGTTGTTGTTGTTTTTTTTCACTTCATCTACGTACAACATTAACTATTTCAAATATGACATAATGTGCTTTCGTGCGCCATATTTGTTTCAAAATGGTTGTAAAGAATTTTCTTCAAGTGTTGTGTAGAGATACTCCGAACTCTCTCGGGGAAAACGCAAGCCAGTTCGTACGTTACAGGGACGTCCTGAAACGCCACCAAACAGCATGTGACATTCCGTGTGAGGAGTGGCAAGAGTTCGCTCAACGACGATCTGAGTGGCAAAGGACCTTCCATCAGGTTACTGAGCAATACGAGAAGACCCGCCTTGAGAGCATGGACTCTAAACGGTGGATTGCAAATACAAGACCCAAGAACGTGTATATATCTCAGCTGGTCACCTACACTGTGTGAAATGAAATGATATTTATTTCTGCAAGTAAATCTAAAGTAAATACAGATATTTTTATAAGTCGGAGTGTGTCATGTGACAGGACCTTTAAGACCAAATTCGGGTTAGCTAGTCATATCCGCGCCCATAACAGAAATCTGCAGTAGGGTTCACCATCGACGGATAAGTCGCGTAGGACATCATCATTACCATGGCCTCACAGAAGTCGAGGTGGTGTTAAGCATTTCTTTCGTTGTTTTTCACAGAGTGAAGTTTCTTCAGCTCGGTTCCTCTCCCTGTTTCTAGGGGAAGGACTCCATGGGCTGCAACGCAATTGTGACTCCTAAGTTGCAGGTGTTAAGCGGCCTTAGTCACTTGCCATCAGGTGACCCGACTGCTCGTTTGGCCTACATAAAATGAATTAGTGCGGGAGTTGTCTTTTAAAAACAAAAAAAAAACAATTAAAACAACAGTATATTTCTAACATTTGTTTTATTTAATTACGACGCAAATACGCAATTATTTATAAAGAATTAAAACATTATTACGCTAAACCTTAACATTATTAAATTCGAAATTTTATACACCAATAATAATAATTTATTAATAATATTGCACATTATTATACGAGGAAACATGTAATTAAAAATTATTAATTAAAATACTATCATAAATGGTGTTGTATTGAAAATTGAGTTCTAAATTATTACAACTATTTTTGTATTTATTATTAGTTGAGATATTTTTGCCCGTGTGTTGACGGATTGAGAATACAGAGTGTCATCACCCCTATTCATCCCGTGGGTGACGTAAGAGCCGACTAAGGGAGTACTATGCAGAACAACAGCACTGCAGAGAGAAGGAAAACTTGACACAAGCCCTATCCAGCCGTCTATCCCTACCGGTCTGGCCAACGTGGCATAGTAGGCCAAAACCTCCTTTCTGAGGAGAGGCCTCCAGCAGAGGAGGTCCGGCAGTGGACTAGTAAAGGCTGTTGAAGTGATGTGAGATTTTTTATACCTGAATTTCCTTTTTTTACCTAAAATACTGGACTACTGCTAGAGAGCAATGGATCCGGGTCGAATTGAGTGGTAAACATTAACTATTTGGAAAATCCAGTACGCAAACCAGCCCTGTTGGAGACAACAAAACCATTCCTTAAAAATTGCTCTTATAAAGGAGAATATTTCACAGCTTAATAACCAAGATGGTTATTAAACACAGTTTATTTCACCAAGTTAGAATTCTTAGCTTTCGAGATATTCAAGTGTTTTTATTATTTACAAAAATTATGCCCCATCTTGGTCTGTTCTTACTAAATGCAGACAAAAAGTTTTAAAAACTTAAGGAAACTTTTCTAAGTCTAGTGTTGTGAGATAGTGTTTATATTATTATTGTTATATATAAAATTCTCGTGTCACAATGTTCGTTCCCGTACTCCTCCGAAACGGCTTGACCGATTCTCATGAAATTTTGTGTGCACATCGGGTAGGTCTGAGAATCGGCCAACATCTATTTTTCATACCATGGTAAGGGTGACCCATCCCTAAATTTTTTTTTAGGCAAAGCAACGTTTGTCGGGTCAGCTAGTTGTTATATAGAATAACAACCATTACACACACTATATGTGTACTTTAATATAAATATCGTGACAGTTATAAATACAGGTAGGTATTTATAATTACATCGTATACATAAACAACTATCCTATTTTTTTTACATTTATTTTATTTTTCCTGTATTTATGAAGGTCACAGTACATTTATTTTATTTATAATTTAAAAAATAATCGAGTCTCACTGAATTAATTAAATAAGAAAAATAATAATAAAATATATTTAGAATTGTACTGCTTTTTCGAGGATTTATGAAATGATTTTAGTAAAACAGATAATTTTAAAGGAACTGAATTTAATGTAACTATTAATTTTACTTTTTTTTTGAGATTAAAATAACTTCAAGAATAAAAACACGGAATCAGATATTTTATACATAAAATGTATGTACAACACACAATGGTGCTGATTCTGTTGTTCGAAAACTCTCTAAACTAAACTAAAAATTTGTTTAGTTCTGTCAAACAACGTTTCCTACTGTGAAAACCTAATATTTGTCAGGACAAAAATGACTTTTAGTGAAATTTAGTTTAGTTTAGAGAGTTTTCGAACAACAGAATAAGTACCATTGTATCACTGATGTTTCATATTATGGCACTAAATATATTTACAATAAATATTCTTCTACATTATTGTACAAATTACACACAAACATATTTTAAATGTATACACGAAAAACTGTAGTAATTATGTATTAAAATCGTGCTTTTTATAACTTATCCGATAAATTGTAGACGTGCCAGATTACTATTGAATATTATGTAAAAATTGTATGTACAATGTCTAAGCTTACCTTATCTATTCTTTGGTATGACGAAAACAGTCGTTTTCATTTCGTAAAATAAATTAACAAATAATTACTTAGGATATACGTATACGCAACAAAAACTGTCTTAAGTAAGACTTTTTGTATTTTTTTAAATAAAAAATTGGTTGCCTGTAAAGTCGGTATACGGGCGAAAGTTTTACGTGACCACGACTATGTCTGTCTCTCTCGCTCTTAGGCGGGCTAACCATGCCCGATTGGAAGGGACGCGTGCCTCTCACTCGCTCTCATTGTGAGCGCATAACGTGAGCGGAGCGTAACGCAGTTTCTTGAAGTGTCACCCGGCAAACCAATTTATAAGACGTTGTCACGTCAAAAATATTTTGTAAAAACTAATAAACAAATTCTCAATCTGCTGTCTACACCTTGTACTTTAATAAAGTAATATATCATCGACAAAGTAAAAGAACGAAAAATCGTATATCTTTAACTGCACCACAGTGGGCGTGGTTTAAACAGTGTAACGTGCAGCGCTCACAGTCACTCCGTTGTTCGAAGACTGTGACCGTTTTTTAAGCACAAAGTCGTGTATCTATGCTTTTCCTTGTATTACTATTTGTAAACATATTACTATGATCCTTTTTTACACCTTCCTTTACTAGACGACACATTTAAGTTACGCTGCAGAGAAAAATCCATCAACAATTGTTTAATTATCTACCTCCTAACTTTTCTGGGGAACCTGGCAGCGTTGACGAAGGTCTCCTTGCTGAGCCGTCATTTCTTCCCTATACCGATGAGCCCCTGCGCAGTCGAGAGGTTCGCCAGCGTCAGCCTGTCAGTCCTCTCCCTTTCCTGTGTGTTCAGCAGTCGCTCCGCAGTATTCAGGGTCGTTAGTGACAGCCTGGTGTCTGGTAGCGTGGTCGGTGTTGGGTTGCTGATAGTGGCGGTTATAGGTGTCGTAGAACGGGTCAGTGGTTTTGGTAAAGATGCTTGAGTGGTGGTCGGAGAGGTACGGAGAGTGGTGGGCTTCTGGTCACGGCCGCTGCATACCTGGAAGGGAGTAAGTTGTAAATAAATGCGTAACGATAAGATACGGTGGTTATTTTACAGACGGCCCCTCCGTCAGATGGACTGACGACTTGAAGAGGGTAGCTAGCGTAGATTGGACGTAAAAGGCGAAAGAGTAGGTCAAAACTTCCTTACTAAGGAGAGGCCTATGTCCAGCAGTGGACTATTATAGGCTGCTGATGATGATGAAAATAGTGAAATTTTCTGGTTCATTTACCATTGCCGTGTGTTTATTTCACGACGAGCAGTTAAGGAATTAAGCTTAACAAATAAACAAATCTAAATTAATATTATAAAACTAAATAGTTTATTTGGTTGAACGTTGCTAATCTCAGGCACTACTGGCTCGAATTGAAAAATTCTGTGTTGGGCCATTTATCTGTAAGCTATATAACATCACGCTACCACCAATAGGAGTCGAGCATCGACAAAAAATGTTGTACAAAGTGGGAAAAATTGATGCCTTAGAAACATTGACGAAGTTGCGCTGGTCAGCCAGTAAACCAAAAATCTTTACATGATATGTGTCTGTAGAATCGATGCTGTAACCGAGTAGCTGGGAAACTCCGTAATGCTCTATCAAGAAATCCCTAAGTGAGAGCCAAGCGTTTACCTGGTGGTGGTTCTCCCAGTCCTTGTGCTGGCAGAAGGCCCCGCAGTAGCGCGCCGCGTTGCAGCCGGAGCACGTCTCCTGCGCCTTGCGCCCGCAGTTCCAGCAACACTGGACAACAATGACATAGCAAAACATATCTATACTATAATATTATACAGCTGAAGAGTTTGTTTGTTTGTTTGTTTGAACGCGCTAATCTCAGGAACTACTGGTCCGATTTGAAAAATTCTTTCAGTGTTAGATAGCCCATTTATCGAGGAAGGCTATAGGCTATATATCATCACGCTAAGATCAATAGGAGCGGAGCACCAATGAAGAATGTTTCAAAAACGGAGAAAATTTATTACTATTGAGAGACGCAGACGAAGTTACGCGGGTCAGCTAGTAAAGAATAATTGAACAAATACATTACAAGTATTGTGGACCTGAACTTACCTACTTACTTACACACCATAACCTGTAGATAAAAATTACAAACAAACTAAACTTACACATTGACACAATACATAACCCGCTGAAATATTGCTTTTAACTATTTCTTTTATTCATATTTCTTTCGAAGTTACTCACATTTTGTTGATTGCTAGCATTAGGGCTGAGTTCCCTGCCCGGAGGTGGTGAGTGCCGCCTCTCTACCATCCTCTCCACCTTTCCTCTCTCAGCCGCTACCAGCTCCAGGGCTTTGGATTCTGCCGCTCCAATTGCACGTTGAAGCTCCAAAAGGGCTTGGCGTTTGACCTGCGTTATTTGTTGTATGTCAATGGTGCTAATACTCTGGTTCGAAAACTCTCTAAACTAAACTAAAAATCGCTAAAAAAAGAATTTGTCCTGTCAAATATTACGTTTTTAGAAGAGGAAACGTTGTTTGACAGAACTAAACAAATTTTTAGTGATTTTTAGTTTAGTTTAGAGAGTTTTCGAATATAAAACTTAGCACCAATATCTTAGACTTAGTATAAAGATGTCAGTTATTTCTTCTTCTTTCAAGAAGATATATGAGAAGAGACATCGCTATTTGCGTAACTAGTTGTATAGTCAGACTTCTCGCCAGAGGTTTAAGCCTAACACTATGAAAACTGAAATGTTCTGCATAGCATGATTCTGTGCAATAATAAATTAGAATAAACTTTATTATACGTAAGTTTAGCATATTATACATACAAGAGTACAGCAAATTAATGAGCATGTACAAATGACTCTCTTCTGCAGACGATATAGACGTATCAAACCCATTTTACCTCTCTTTTAATGAAGTTCTTAAAAAAATTGCCATAACTGGTTTGAAAGGAACGATAAGGCATGAATGTCTCCTCCTGTACCTTCATGAAAGTGCCTTAATAACACCTCGTAACTGTCTTTTATCAGGTTTATTACGGGCGTTATTAGCTATTAGATACCGTGCGTTGCTGAGCTGGTAAAATTCTTGTAAAATATTATGCAGAAGTATACACAGTAGTTGTCACTTCATCACCGGCGTTATCGATATTTATGTCGATGTTCTTAACTTTAGAAAGAAGTTTCCACAGGGGGCTAAGACCCACGTATATTCTCCATATACGTGGGTCTTAGCCCCCTGTGGAATAGCAGGTGGCCACAGCGATAAGTGTTGCCCGGATTTAACCCAAGTTTCGTTCCTGGAATTTAGCATTTAAGGAATATCGACTATAGTACCCTTTTTCGTGGGACCTCTTTTCTTATAATGGCCAAATTCATTTGTCATACCTGATTGACGGCATCTTCAGCTCGTCTCCGTACTTCAGCAACTCTTTCCTCTGTTTGTCTGACAGCTGTTGCCATAATCTCACTAGCTGCCCTCTTTATATCGTTACTTTCTGTTGGTTCTACACCTGAAACAAATTGTATTATAATATTCTTTAAGAGAGTCACTTGATGAAAAATGGTAGGGCACTGTCATAATAGAGTTCATATCATCACATCAACAGCCATTAATAGTCCACTGCTGGACATAGGCCTCTCCTTAAAAAGGAGGTTTTGGCCTACTATACCACGCTGGCCAGACGGGTTGGTATAGGGTTTGTGTCAAGTTTTCCTTCTCTTTGCAGGAGATTTCTCCCTAAGTCGGCTGTTACGACACCCCCGGGATGACTAGGGGTGGTGTCACTCCGTATTCTTAATCCGTCACCACACGGATTGAGAATACGAAGTGTCACCACCACCGTAATAGTGTTGCCAGTCATTGATGCCCCAGAATTAGGGGAGTCAGATTTTCAGTAACATCGTTTCCTCAGTGAAATGCAATGAAAAATTTGTTTAACATCAGTTTTATGTGAGGCATAGGTTATTACTCCGACCGAGGAGGCCCATACGCGTCTCAGCATGACTCTCCTACGAATGTTAAAGTACCTCTATAGTGGTAACCTCAGACGAACCGATGATAATTTTAACTCATTCTTTTTAATAAAGTCACTGTCTCCTCTCTCCCTCTTACCTCTTTGTTGCAAAATTGCCAATGCTCTTTTGGTCTTCTCCACCATGCTGAGGATGCAATTAAGCATAGTGTTGATATTCTTCCACTCATCATCAGTTTTGAGGAGTCCTGACGAACTGGCGCCCAACCGGGGCTCTGAGAAAGACGCATTCATTGATGATACGTCTCTCACTGTTATAGATCCTGCGGAACAAAAATATAATTCTCTCTTAGTCTTAAATCTTGAAATAATTGTTTAAATTTTTAAATACAGTTTTTAACCGACTTAAAAAAGGAGGAGGTTATCAATTTATATTTTTTTATGTATGTTCGGGCATAACTCCCTCAGGTATAGACGGATTTTCTAATTTCTTGTTTTTTTTCGAAATGGATTTATTCCGAAATGGTCCCGTTTAAACTTCGGAGACAGACAACGGAACTATTCAAAAAATGTCAACAAATCAACCGCAATTGCTGCTAGGTTTTCGGTACTCTTTGTTAGTATTGTTTGAAGTCGGTTCAACTTTTTTTTAAAAGGATTTTCTGTAGTTAATATGTGTATATTATTAAAATATGCCTTGTTTTTTATTTTTTATATTCGTTATGACAATATAAACTATTATTTTCCCCTCGGAACAATGGATTTTGAGATTTTTTATTCGGAATGACTATTAGTTTAGTGGTAGACTGTATCAGGTATTTCCTTCCTAGGGTACACCTGGTCCCCCAGCAACTGGTACCCAAGACGGTGTGCGGTTTTTGGTCGGTTCGAGTCCGACATAACCACCGGTGGGTAGTATCCGAGAGGATTTCCGCACAGAAAAAAAAAGTGGTGGACTATTAGTAAGTACATACATTAATAAATTTATTATTGTGTTATGTGTGTGATTGTTGTGTGTGTTTTTGTGTGAGGGTGTGTGGGTGTGTTTTAGTGTGAGGTTCAAACAAGGCATTATGAATTTTCAAACTATAATTTGAAAATTATTGAAATCTAAAGTAAAATACACATATATTTGAAGTTTCATATATATACGGCAATTAGTGAGATAGTTACCATAACATTCAGACTCACCATCTCTCCTCTCAAAACCCCCTTCTTGATTGCCATGGTACCCATGGTACGGATGTGAATAATCGAAGAGTGTAGCATTGCTCGGCAGCGGGTAGAGGAACGGCGAGGGGTTCAGGAACAGACTGGAGGCGGCGCGTTTGGCTTGAGGGGGGTACTCTTCATGCGAGCCGTTCGTTTGGGAGGTGTCGTAGAAGCTGTGGACAAAGATAACATTTGAAGATAAGTGGTAAAAGATATGTAGTTGGAACATTGAGCTGATGACTTCATCCCTTATTCAGTATGCCTCTAAATTTATTTTTTATATGACATAGAAAGACAAACGAGCAGTCGGGTCACCTAGTAGTAAGTAAGAACCCCGCCCATGGACTTCTGCACCTCAAAAGTCATAAGTGCTTTGCCGTCCTTTGAGTCCTATCCTAGAATCAGCAGTGCTATTCTCTAAGAAATAAGCCTTGCGTACAGCGCTTTTTTTACGTGTGGAAACCCCTCGGGTCGTCACCAAACCCAGGGATCCGGGTACTGCTGTTATGAAAATCCGGGTTGCAGTTCATGTACAGTTTGAAATTAGACGCTGTGACAGCACTGTAGCGTCGAATTTCAAACGAACTTATTTTGAAGTTCGCGGCTGTGGGTACGCAAGGCTGTTTCCTTAGAGAAGAGCACTGCTGAACGAGAAGGGGTTTGAGCTCCGGTAATCCCACTCACTCGGTTAAAAGCTACGAAATAATTAAGAGGCCGTGGTATCAGTAGGGTCGAGACAGCCCATTTTTTCCGAAGCATGGCTCTCCCTTGTATTCCACAAAATTCATTGATTTATTTTAATTTTACATTGTAAAACGCGAGCAATCATATTAGCTCTTTCTTACAACGCTCTGCGTTCCAGTTCCATTCATTAAAGGTCCCTCAGATCCACTGTAACCCAGTATCCTAGATATTGTTGCGCAATAGGATTAAATGGTTCGATTGTTACAGAATTGTATGGAATGTGGAGGACAGCGCCACCCAGTATCGAGTAAAGTACAACTATTGAAATTGTAATTAATAATTCTAATCCTTACAGCGCTAGATGGCGCTTAGCTGATTCTGGAATATTCTTATTTATCTGGAACGGACTATCGAATACTAGGGATCATTCTAGTAAATTCGATAGCGCTATAAAAGCGGAGCGTGTTGGCCGTTCGGGATAGTATCGTTTTACGACACAGCGAATTAACATCGAAGTGAATTTCTACTGCGACTAACGAGTTATATAGTGGTCTCTTGTTTGTAATAGTGAGTGTTTGTAAATACAGTGCAATAAAGTAATTAACCGACAACTTTTATTTATTATATACCCCGCTCGTAACAATATATCTAAATTTATAGACTCTCTCCAGGTTAGACCTGTTAAGACGAACTGGAGGTACGCTTTGTGGAAATTGTGTGACAGTCTAAAAGACCATGAATTCACTTTTCACAACATTATATCGCAGGCCATGTTCACACACCACATTTTGTTGCACTCAATAAAACCATGTCGCAATAGTTGCGGAGTGCGGCGCCCACCTCTAGCGTAGAACTAGATATCCAACTACATCAACAGCCTTTAATAGTCCACTGCTGGACTAAAGCCACTCCTTAGAAAGGAGGTTTTGGCCTACTATACCACGCTGGCCCAGGTTGGTATGTATCAAGTTTTCCGTCTATTTGCAGTGCTGTTGTCCTGCGTAGTTTTATCCTTAATCCGCTCTTACGACACCCTCGGGATTAATAGGGGTGGTGACACTCCCCCATCCAAACTCCTGCTAAACTTTTAGAAAATAAAGGCGTTTCCACAACCTATAAATTAATTATAAAACCAATCAGAAGCTTTTGGTCCTCACAAAGGTAATATAAGAGGAAGTCGATGAAGTGGAATATCAAGACAATAGTGAACTTTGTTCAAACAAACTGCGGAATGGCTCATAAATTAATGGCTTTGGATTAAGTTATAAGCAGATGGCGTTTATCTGTCCGCCTAGTGGTCATTATTATTGATAGAGAATTTAATTATACCGAGAGTTTGGAAAAGACAAATAAAAAAAAATGCATCCCTTTTTAACGGTAGTTTTGAAAATTTTGTTACTTTTAAAAATACCGAAAGGTGGAATTTTTCTTACAGTCAGTGAAACAGGCTATCAGTTTCATCTTTTATAGATATATATTGACCTTTTCTGAAGCATATGGTATAGAATATGTGTATCTCTCATTGTACCTTCAACTGCTACTGTCTGTCCGAAACATTTTGATCCATCCAAAGGTTAAGGTTGCCTTTTTTATTTATTTTTATAGTGTAAGACGGTGTAGTGACGGATTAAGAATACGGAATGTCACTACCCCAATTCATCCCGTGGGTGTCGTAAGAACCGACTAAGGGCGCAAAACAACGCAGGACACTAGCACTGCAAAAAGACGGAAAACTTGACACAAACCCTATACCAACCCGCCTGGCCAGCGTGGTATAGTAGGCCAAAACCTTCTTTCTAAGGAGAGGTCTATGTCCAGCAGTGGACTATTAAAGGCTGTTGATGTGATGTGATGTGTAAGAGGGCAAATGAGCAGACGGGTCACCTGTTGATAAGCAACTACCGCCGCCCATGGACACCTGCAACTCAAAAATCACACGTGCGTTGCCGCCCTTGGAGTCCCTCCCGCTCGAGTCAACGGGAGTGGGATATGGGCTCCGGTAACCTCACTCACTCAGTGAAAGGCAACGAAAGAATTGCTTAACACCGGTTTTCTATGAGGCCGTGGTATGACTTCGGTCGAGAAGCCCATTCGTGCCGAAGCATGGCTCTCCCAAGGTTGATGCCTGGAAGAGATTGATCTTAGCAGTAAGGTTACCCTTTGTAGATTGCATATCTGTCATTTTTATGTATCATATTACTTGTAAAACGGTGTACAAATAAAGAGTTTTCTATTTATCTACCTACCTATCTGACGACCGGATGGCGTAGTGGTTTGTGTAACGGACTGCTATTCCAAAGGGCACGGGTTCGATTCCATTCCATCAACATTTATGTGCATGAACATTTAATGTTTGATTTGGTCTGGGTGTTTCTATGAATATATATATCCTGTGACCTATATGACGGACACAAAGAACACCCAGGCTTAGAACAACAATTTGTGAATCACAAAAAGTGTTGTCCCATGAGGGGATTGGACCCACAACACTTAGCGCAGTAGGAAGCAGCGAGGTGACCGCTTACGCCACTACGTGCAGTCAATATGTATGTATTTACAAAAAAAAATGTATATATGTATTTATATCAGTTGTCTAGTACCCTTAGTACAAGCTCTGCTTAGTTTAAGACTAGATGGCGTTGTGTGATTGTGGTAGAAAAAAGAAAAAAACTTGTTTTTTTGTCTTGTAATGTTCTTGTTACCGTGGAAAAGCTTCTGTACAAATGAACGGCTCGACTGGAGACTTAGCACGGCCAATATTTTTAACTTTTTTACACAAAAACCGCTGTTAAGGAATTCTATTGTCGCTTTTTACGGAGTGAGTGAGGTACTGAGGGTACACAAGTAAGACACCCTAGAAAGGAAACCTCTCAGATCTCCTGTACAAAAGCTATAGGAAATCTGAGAGGTTTCCTTTCTTTCGTTTACTCATGATTAGAGGTGATCATTCCTTGGTGTAAAGTATATCTTAGAAATCTTTCTATTTTCCAGTTATACCAATACGGAGTAGAATAATATAATGGAATTATAATATGTGGTGACGGATTAAGAATACAGAGTGTCACCACCCCTGTTCATCTCGTGGGTGTCGTAAAAACCGACTAAGGGAGCAAACTACGCAGGACAACAACACAGCAAATAGAAGGAAAACTTGACACAAACCCTATACCAACCCGTCTGGCCAGCGTGGTATAGTAGGCCAAAATCTCTTTTCTAAGGAGAGGCCTGTGTCCAGCAGTGGACTGTTAAAGGCTGTTGATGAACATAAAATGTAATTAATTGTTATTATTCTCTCAAATTTAATAACTTGGACCATACGACTATAAGTGCAAACATAGATAAACTAAGCCCTGAATGCAATCGATGCGATAAATAATAACCTGTACAAGGGATACCACGCCCGCATATGGAACGAATGACGCCGAATTGACAAGCGGTAGCGGGAACGGTTTTATAGATTCTATCTTGTTAAACTGTTTTATTTTGTTAACCTATTATTAAATGTAGTGATATTGTATTTAATTAATAGCTTTGGGCTGCGAATCCGCCCGCGTTAAACTTGGTGATAATGTAGCTTTGCATTGGTGAAAGAATTTTTGAATTCGGTTTAGTAGTTTAGGTGTTAAAGCGTAGCAAACCAATAAATAAACAAACAAACTCACTTTTAAATTTATAACATTAGTATTGATGTAAAATAAATTAAGGTTTTCGAAGAAAGACGAACTAACTAAACTGTATACTATAAATTAGGCACACTATTTTATGTTTTCAACTTATTTTTTGTACTTGTGATGATTGCAAATAAAGGGTCTACCAATAGGGATGACCTGGTTTTGACAGCTCATAGCGGCCATGTTTGATGATGGATCTTTGACATCTCTTGACATTTGTGTTCAGTAAGGTTTGCCATTTTATCATGAAACGTTTCACTTCAAACCAACGCTTGGAAATTGTCCAAAATTTCTTTCAAAGTGACGAAGGAAACCCTGTTACTGTGAATGGCGAGCGCTATAACTCGATGTTAACCGAATATTTCTTTCCGGAATTTGATGATATTGATGCAGACGACCTTTATTTTCAACAAGACGGTGCACCACCTCACATTACTCGAGTGAACATGGAATTATTGCGTGGAAAGTTTGGCGAGTCGTTAATTTCGAGAAATGGACCGATCAGTTGGCCCCCAAGATCATGTGATTTAACACCTTTAGACTATTTTTTTTTTATTATATCTTTATTGTATACACTAATACAAAAAAAAAAACAAAACAAAAGATGAGTTACAAATAAGTAAACGGTTTTATCGCTCACAGCGATCTCTTCCAGACAACCTTAACATGGATTTTAGGCATTTAACAATTTAGGGTAGTATACATACACGTAACACAATATCACGTGAATATTTAAAAATATTTACAAACATAAACAAACACATTCATACACAAATATACATCTATGGACATTACACATATACAAATACACATACATA